TCAGGACCGGTGTGCTCTTATATCGGCACGTGTGTTTCCTTCTTTTCATGGCTATGGCTCGATTTTCTGAGAGACATCCTCCGCCACCCAACGGGCTAAATCGATCACTGGCTTGTTCGAGCTTATATAATACCAAAGCATGCAAATGTGTTTCACTGTTTCCTGTGACAGGACAAATCATTTCAAGCGGATTTCGACTCAATGCTGTACAAACTCATGCGCCCTCCACGAAAACGAGCACAGGTAGACCAGCACACGGGCCAGGCCCCCATGAAGCCCGACGGGTGGACGCAGCTTGGGTTGCCGGGCCGGCGCCCCAAGGCTTCCGTCTGCCAAGATCTTCAGGATGTTGATCCCGCCCCCGTGGTAGGCCGCACTGACCACCTGGACTCGATCAAACGCCTAAAATGGATGAAATGGGAATTGTGGCTCCAAATGGCCGGCACAACACTGAGGCCCTTCCAAGTGGTGATATATCACAACGGTCCGTTCAATTGTGGTCCTCACATCTCGCAGTTGCGGGGTGGTGCAAACGGTATGCGCTCTCAGGACCCTTTGACCTGGAAAAGGGAAAATTCACGTTGCAAAGTGATTCTGACGGCCGAGGCAGCAGCCATGCCCGAAGAACCCGAGTAGGCCACCGCCACGTGCGCGCCACCTCGGCGCAGCTCGTGGAACCTGCCTAGGGACCTATCCCGGAAGGCCTTAACTTGCCACGGGCTTGTCATGCAAGACAACACCCGTAGACCATACACCACACAAGGAATTATCCAACGTGCAACACCTTGAGGGGGAAACTGCATGGAAGAATCTGGCTGCAAACCAAACAACGTGCGGCGTGATCCAATTACTGAATCATCAATCTGCATCACATGTTTGGGAGGCGCTTTGATGTCGATTCATTGGTTGCCCGCCTGCTGTTCTTGATCTAGTAGGCTTGAGTAGCTGCACGAAGGTGAATAAGGAGCCTCCTTTCAAAAGAATCCCAAGAATCTGAAAACGATCCTGGCATGCAGTATCCCTCAAGGGGCACCAATGAGTGCAGGATTGGGGAGGGGACTAGGAGGATTTGCCTCCCTGGTGTTTGCCGAGAAATTGGGTGGTCCCGTGTGTCCTCCCCAAATATTCCCCAAACTCCCCAAACTCCCCCAACTCCCCAATCCAACAGACTGCTTTTGACACTGTCTGTTGCTAGCATGAACGCTGGTCAGGATCAAGTGTGACTGATGATAAGCGCCAACTACCTCCCAAAGTACCATACCCAGCCACAGAAAAGCAAGCACCCCACAGGGGCTCAGGTAGGACAGTGGGACTGCCTTCTTTGACAAGATGGTTGATCTGTCTGAAGTGCAGAGCGCGCGAAATCTTTCCAACCACTGCCATCCCCCTCCCAACGGCAAATGATTCAGCAATTCCCTTTTGTAGTAAAGCGCGCCAAGGTGCCAGCAACGTCACACTTCACCTCAGCCAAGCAAAGTCTGACACCAACAACTCTTGGTGACACGTAGTTTGCATCAACTTCACTGTGCTGAAGCAAAACCATTCCTCGAGTCTTGAGTGAACGTTTGAAGCATGCTGTTGTATTTCATCTGGCAAATCATCTTACAGTCCTTGCAGCCGCCGGCACAGTGCCCAAACCCAGCCGTTGTGCAGCCCCGATTTGTAGCCACAGTCACGATCCCAGAGAACCCAACAACACGCGAGACTGAGCATATGGAACAACATACACTGTTGCTTGGCGGCCATAGCAGAACATGGGCCACCCACCACCGTGTCAGCGCATAAAATGAGGCAATTCCCCACGCAGGTGTGCCGAGTGCCGAGGAGTACCCTCAAAAAGGACACACCCAACACTTTGCAGCATCTTGGCAAGCTCCCTGTACAAAATCTCGATTGATTGAAGGCTTCCTGCAAAATGTGCAGCAAGAAGAGTGTCGGCACGTTCGTCGTAAAAATCGTACCGCATGAGGACAGCTGAGCACAGCTGAGCACGGCTCAGCCGAGCAGCCGAGAACGGCTGAGCAGCTAAGCACAGCTGAGCAGCTGATCACGGCCGAGCAACTGAGCACGGCTGAGCACGGCTGAGCACAGCTGACCACGGCTGAGCACGGCTGAGCACGGCTGAGCACGGCTGAGCCGAGCAGCCGAGAACGGCTGAGGCTGATCACGGCCCAGCAACTGAGCACAGCTGAGCACGGCCGAGCACGGCTGAGCATGGCTCAGCCGAGCAGCCGAGAACGGCTGAGAAGCTGAGCACGGCTCAGCAGCTGATCACGGCCGCGCAACTGAGCACAGCTGAGCACAGCTGAGCACAGCTGAGCACAGCTGAGCACAGCTGAGCACGGCTCAGCCGAGCAGCTCAGAGCGGCTGAGCACATCTGATCACGGCCGCGCAACTGAGCACAGCTAAGCACGGCTGAGCACGGCTCAGCCGAGCAGCGAGAACGGCTGAGCAGCTCAGCACGGCTGAGCAGCTGATCACGGCCGCGCAACTGAGCACAGCTGAGCACGGCTGAGCACGGCTCAGCCAAGCAGCTGAGAACGGCTGAGCAGCTGAGCATGGCTGAGCAGCTGATCATGGCCGAGCAGCTGAGCACAGCTGAGCACGGCTGAGCACGGCTCAGCCGAGCAGCCGAGAACGGCTGAGGAGCTGAGCACGGCTCAGCAGCTGATCACGGCCGCGCAGCTGAGCACAGCTGAGCACGGCTGAGCACGGCTCAGCCGAGCAGCTGAGAACGGCTGAGCAGCTGAGCATGGCTGAGCAGCTGATCACGGCCGAGCAGCTGAGCACAGCTGAGCACGGCTGAGCACGGCTCAGCCGAGCAGCTGAGAACGGCTGAGCACAGCTGATCACGGCCGCGCAACTGAGCACAGCTAAGCACGGCTGAGCACGGCTCAGCCGAGCAGCGAGAACGGCTGAGCAGCTCAGCACGGCTGAGCAGCTGATTACGGCCGCGAAACTGAGCACAGCTGAGCACGGCTGAGCACGGCTCAGCCGAGCAGCTGAGAACGGCTGAGCAGCTGAGCATGGCTGAGCAGCTGATCACGGCCGAGCAGCTGAGCACAGCTGAGCACGGCTGAGCACGGCTCAGCCGAGCAGCTGAGAACGGCTGAGCACAGCTGATCACGGCCGCGCAACTGAGCACAGCTAAGCACGGCTGAGCACGGCTCAGCCGAGCAGCGAGAACGGCTGAGCAGCTCAGCACGGTGTCCGGGAGGATTGGCATGGTCCAGTTTTGTGAGGTGCGAAATGCCGACCTTTCGCACCTCACAGAATCATTGGGAAATCAGCGGTCGGGATAGTTGGGTCGGGACGTGTTTAAATTGAAACCACATTGAGGGAAAATATTGAGTGTTCCTTTTCTGGGGAGCTCAATTCCGCATGCTTCCCCAAAAATGGTTGATCATTGTCAAACTTGATCACATTCATGGTGTTGATCAAACTGGATCAACCATGGTCAAATTTGATTCCTTTAGCTGGGATGCCTGCGCAAACATAAACTAGGTCACGGCGTTGCTAATGACCACGCTGCTTTTGACCATGGCGACCAAGCACGTTTACCAAAATTCCTGCGTTTTATGAACATTTCGTTGCATCGTTGACACGCACCATGTTTATTTTGTTCCATTTTTACCATGGCTTTGACAAGAAAGGGCCAAATCGCCTGAGAATAGCAGCACTTCGCGCTGCTGGCCAACACACGCGCGTTTCTTGAGGCTGCCGGCCTCCTTTTTTTAAAGGCAAAGGATCTAAGATGGCCAGGCGAGATATCGTCTTCGTCGGCAGACATGGCAAGCCCGCCACACTGGCTTGAGGATGGTGCAGAAGTGAAGTTGATGACCAACAAACGTCGGGATAGAACAAAACAGGCAGCACGCAAAGCCGGGGTAAGCGGGGAGCGGGCGCGCGAGAGCGTCAGCCAGGCAGCGCGAAGACGCGGCAGTGCAGCAGGTAACCGACACCAGGACAAAGGGCTTCGAGCAGATATCGCACCAACAGATGCCGCAAAATGCGCGAAAGGACCAGACGAACTACCAGCGAAAACTTCAAAGTGAGCGTCCAACAAGAACGGATCACACGTCCAAAATGCCTGGAACCACGAGTCAACAATGGGGCAGGGTGCACACGCGACACGCAGCAGCAGAACGTACGCAACACAAAGAGCGAGAACAAAATGATGACCCATGGTCCTGGAGCAAAAGGTTGGGCCAGTGAATGCCTCAGGGGTGAAAGACGCATCTGCAGCAGTTGAGCGGGTGTGCTTATCATGCGCCCCCCCAACCCCCCCCCCAGAACCATGTTATTTTGTAATCCGGTAAAAGAGCAGGCTGGTCTGCAGCAGTTGAGCGGGTGCTGATCATACCCCCCCACCCACCCCCCCTCCCCCCCCGCCCACCCATCCCCCCCCGAACCATGATGCATGAACGCAGGGATGAACGTCCAAAAAACAAAGAACTCCACGGGGTCGTTGAGGACGCCGTGAGCATAAACTAGTATGTACTACGGAACTTCAGCATCCACCCTCGTCAAGGCACCAATTTAAAGCCATTTTCTGGATCATGTTTTTGGTAAAGACCATTGCCACCAAACTCAAGGCAAATGCAATGGAGATAACAAAGGTGATGAAATGCTCTTTGAAAAGTGATTGCGGACAGCTTACGAGGTGACAACTGCAAAGATGCAAAGGACATAGTATGTTTCTTTGCGCAAACAAATGAAGGAGCAAACCAGGAGAAATACTTGCAATGCCAGGGAAACAGGAGGGCTTCCGGGCTTGGTCCAAGTACCAAACATCAACCGATGGCGAAAGTAAAAGAAAGAGAATAGCTGCCTTGCAGCTGGCGAAAACCAAGTTTCTCGAGATATGTTATTGACGTTCCTAGGAGGAAGTGTCCATGAACGTTGTATGATTGTTCTACGTGTGTTTTCAATGAACTATCTACGCATGTTTGATGCACTGTTTATGCACTGTTCAAAAAGTGAATAGAGGAAGTGCATAAGAAATACATAGAGAAATCAACCGGGCATAAAAAGTGCGCTAACAAGTGCATAGAAATGCATACACAAAGCAGTGAAAGCGCATAGATACTTCACAGACAATTCATGAAACATTTGCGGAAATACGTACAAAATACGTGGGACGTTCATATTAAGTGCTATGAGGCATTCAGGGCAAGTTCACTGCTACATCACAAACATGTATGCATGTACTTTAGGTTTTGCTGCCATTTTGCGGGAAATTACCAAGTCTCTTCTAGATGCGTTCTACGAGATGTCTGCAAAAGATCTAATTATTTGGAGAATCTCTGCAGGCTGTGTGTGAGTGTGTTTGCAAGATCTGAGAGCAACCCAACACACACCCAAGGCCCACAAAGGTGTTGCTTGCAATTTCGATTACTTGCTCCGTGCCAGGAGTCTGCCTTCAAAGTCAAAGAGAACCCTGATCGAACCCAGCTTTTACTCTGAGCGCAAGAGGCCATTGATTTGGTTTTTTTTTGGGGGGGGAAGGTTGTCCAGCTCGCACTTCATCGCAGCGACTGGACATTCCCTCGGTCACTTCCTCCGAGGCGCGGTGTTGAGATGCTCCAGCGCGCCGGTGCTGCGATCAATGCGAAACGCCTCAGGGGAGCGAGGAGGGGAGCGACATGTGCTCAAGGATCATCGCATGGCCCTGGACTGCCTGGACAAGGAAAAGTATCTACTCCAACCCGAGGTGCGCTCGCTTTCCGCTTGATGTCACTTTGAAGGCAAGACCCCTCAAGCTCCAATCTGCGGCCAGGAATCCAGGATGGCGCAAAATCTCTGGCAAAACACATTTGGAACAGCATGCATGAACGATGAGTAAACTGGTGACAATGAATCCTCAAACTATGCAGCGGTGTTGAGAAAAAGTGCGTTCGTATGTCCATCCAACATGGAAACAGCCTCTAACTACAATTTGCTTGTGTTTGCAAGGCTGACAACCTGCTTACTCTCATAGTGTCGAACTTATATTGGTCCAGCGTTGCAGGCCAATGTGCGGCAGCCTTCAAATGCTGGGATCCGGCGATCCCACTTACACAAAGTACACACTATCAGCGATCATTTTGTTCATATTCCACTATCAAGCTTACCCTTTACTGCTTCACCACATGCTTACCCTCCTTTCCTGCTTTTCTCGCCACACAACAAGCGATGGTTATGCTGGTTTGTGATCTGGAAGACAGTCGCAACAGGAAGCCGACCTCTCGGAAGCCGACGCGCTCAGGCCCGGGCTGCCGCGCCCTCCTTGGCCACGGAGTAGAGATAGCCCTCGAAGCCCACCGCCAGGAAGCCTCCTGCGACGCTCCCGGCCCCGGCTGCGCGCCTCTAAGGCCAAGAAAGGGCCGCCTGTTGTCACAAGGAAACTGGCAAAGGTTCGACGGTGTGGAGCAACGGCCTCTGAAACGCCATGCGTAAAAACAAACAGCCGAAATGAATGCGAGCCAGAGCCAAGCAAAGGAGTAACTTCGCACGTTGATAAGGAGCCCAATCATGTATGGATTCAAATGCAGCGCGTGTGCATCCTGCGCCACTGCAAGCAAGACCGCACAAACACTTACCCAGGGGGAAGGCATACCACTGAAGCGAAGCAAACTACAGAACTAGGCAATTTGGGGCTGCCAGGCTTTGGGGGGTAGGGATCTGCCTTGTTTGCTCCGTCCTGGCCCATCCTTCTCGTGCAAGTCCCCAATCTGGACCAGCTCGCCGCTCCTTAGTTTGGGTGGCATGACTGGTAAATCGACATTGGCTGAGCTTGGATCAACCCATTACTAAGTTCTTCTGGCCCTTTGTTCAGGGCGGTGCGTAAAAGACACTGCTTACAGCCCATGCAACTGAACGTGTTGCTCACTAGCTTCATCCTGCAATGGCTTGCACACAAACGTAGGAAATCCAAACATAAGGGGAGGAGTGGCGTTGCTGCATCTGTTGCGCACCGTGCGTTTCTTTCCAGGAGCAGCAGACTGACAGGGCGGCAAGCGAGGTCCGCCCCTTGTCTCTCCAGTCACAGATTCTCTACATCTGGCAAGGGGGACACCATGTCGGCTCAACGAAGTCGACCCTTTAATTGATCCCCCGCAGCATCTGGGTGCCGGTGCCAAAACTATACATGTGACCAATTGCTGATGTTTGTGGTTCGAGCCATATGCAGGGGGTTCAAAAGAAGTAGTGATAGATCAACAGGAAAAATACATT